CTCTGCGGAGAAAGCAGAGAGTAAGCGAGCTACAACTGCGTTTTCTCCCCGGAATGTCAAAGCAGCCAAGCCCTTGATTTGCAGGCGCGTCGGCCATATCAAGGAACCAGGGCGAGGCCCCAGCAAGCGCGCGCGGCTGACTCCAAAGAGCCATCACAACTGCCTTCCTTACCACTTCAAAGCAAGGGGAGAGATCTAGCTTTCATTTCACCCCCCCCGCGCTCCTCCCCTCACCCATCCGCAGAAGAAACTCGCAGCCCGCCTGCGTTGTCTCTCCCGCCCCCTCCCTTTTTGGGGTAACCTTTTGTTGATTAGGGTAAGGCCGCCAAGCCGAACAGATGGCCCTGGAGCAGAAAGACTTTCATGTGAACTCGGTGGCATCTGCATGCCAATGGCCGCGGACTGCTGGAATCCCGGGCACTGCCGGAGCTGGGCTAACTCCCTGCCAGCTTCTGACCGCTCCTCGGTTCTTTACCCGGTTCGACCCCACACTCCCGAGTATCGTTCGAGGGTGGGAAATAATATAAAGACAGCAAAAGAATGGCATTCCCTTTTCTCCTTTCTCTCCTTAAAAAGAAAACGAAACCAAAAACAAACAAAAACACACACACACCCAACAAAGCTCAATCCAGCAGTTATAAAAGCGGTGCGCGCCCCAGTTGTGGAAAATATCATGTCCTGAGATGACCTTTTGTAAATCAGGAACATTCCGTTTTTCTAGCCTACTGTGTCGAATCTGGATTCTACCTTGTAGGACTTAGACCCAGAATGTAGAACTTTCGCAAATTTCGGAAGTTGCTCTTGCAGATGTTATTCGTTAATAAAGAAAGAAGTCGTTCTGGAATAAATACCCCACTTTTCTATCACCCAGAGGCTGCATTCTCCCCAGGAAAGCCGTTTGTTCAATGAATCTTGGTGCTCCCTATACCTATGGGAAGAACTCAACTCGGACCTTTACCTGAGATTTTTCTGATACAAGCCTTTTAAAGTTCGGTGAGCGGGTTTCTCAATATCAGCCTGCGGGTGTAAACCAATGCTGAGATCCTATAGTCACCTGCCTGCGATGGGGCTTACTTCCGTGTAGATAGGCATAGCATTGAATTGAATGTCTCTTTGCCGGCAATGGAAGGCAAGACTATTAAGTCTGTACTTTACAACAAGACAGTGAACAGCGAAGGAAAAATCTAACTTCACGAGAAAATAATACTATTATCCTCAGAATTTTTTTTTAAAGAATAAGACGTTATTGATCATTAACTTAACTAGCTGATTAATATGGGTGACATTAAACGCTACTCATTCCATTGGAATCTACTCTTGGAAAGTGATTTCTCTGTGATCTCTATACATGTCTACTCAGAAGTAAGTACCATTGTGTTTAACAGATCTCCTCCCGGATAAGCTTGAATGGAATGCAGTCTAAGGGTCGGGTGGATTAGTTAACCATCTCCTCTTTAATCGATTAATGGAACTGTTGCGGAGAGTTGAAGGTAAAGGTTTCTTGGCACGAAACAAAAGAAAAACATGTGTTTCAGTGGCAGTATGTCCACACGTCATCGTTATTCTAAACCCCGCGGTTTCACTGCCTATTTTGTTCCTTTCAAACACCCACACCGATGGATCTTCCAAAGTGGATGAATTCATCAATTAATCGCATTGATTAACCCTTCCCAACCATAAACCGATTAATCTCTCTCTTTCTCCTTATTGACAAGGAAATCTAAAGTAAAATTTCTCCCTCTCCTTCCTTGAAATGTAAGGTATACTGTCTGTGTGCCTGGGGAAAAAAAAATATTTTTCCCTTTAGGAAAACAACAAAAACACCACAGGAATGGGCTGGCGTGGAGAAATTTCATGACCACTGCTTATCACTATGCATTTATTTATCCCAACACGTCAGCCGAAATCTATTCTCTTCCTTCGAGTCTAACCATCCAGGCCCTTTTAATGTTCACCTTTTAAAGTTTACTTTTGGAGGCTACATCGAGATGCTCTCGCTGTTTTCCTCTGGGGCAATCAGATTGAAAGCGATCAATATTTACTCAGTCTGAAAAGGGTTGTTGAAAAGGCAGCTAACAACAAACTGCTTAGCTGCTCACCCCTGTTTAATCTCAGGTTCACCGAAAGTTCAAGCAGAAATGAATCCAGTGATGGGTCACTTTAGAATGAGTCCCGGTGGTTTATCTCGGCTCTCTGCTAAAGGCAACAATTATTTACACTCTCTCTCTCTCTTTCTCTCCCCAGTGAAGCCTCTAGCCTATTCTAATGTTAAGTTTGCTCCCTTCATTGAAAAGCTGGAAACATTTTCTTCATCTGTTAGGCTAAGATCTGATTTCCCCTTTTGCTTCATGGGTCCTACCATCCTCCTCCTTCTCTTCTTTATGATTTTTCAACTTAGTTAAAATCACTACAGGCTTTTTTTTGGGGGGGGGGAATGAAAGATATATAAATTCTATGCAGTAGAGTCATTTTAACATAAATAGAACAAAACGGGGACACCCTGCTTATTTTCTAGGAAGCAAAATCCTATTAACCTCAATAGAACATTGCTTCCAAGTAAATGTTTTATAAGATCAATTTTTAAAATCTACAATTCCATGAATTGGGAGAGTTGGATATTTTCTCTGTCTGAAACCCAGGTGAGGGATGGTTGTTAATACTGCTGTGTGAAAGAAGCACAAAAGAAGAACATACTACTCAGATCTACTTTGAAGTAAAACTCATGAGGATCAATGTAATTTACTTCCAAGTAAAAGCGTCTAGAGCTAATTCTAATCGTGCAGTCTCTAGCCATTATTTTGATATTTATCTGAATTCTAGGATCCTAGAATTCATTTCGAGTGTATTTATGTAGGGCTGTCTGCATGTATATTTCTGGGTGTGTGTTTATATGACTGTTACATTCCCCCCCTTTAAAAAAAATCCCTACAGGGAATGTGGCACTCCACAAAAACCGAACATTTGAAGGTTCTGCACGTTGCAGCTAATTGCAACAACCTTCCAAAGGTCAAAGTTCATCTCATCACTGCATAAATGCATTCTTAATCAGGATTTATTAGACTTTCTCTAGTGGAAGATCACGTTTAAAGTAGAATCTAATTTTCATTATCAACCCGATTAACAGGAATTGTTACCCATAAACGCAGTTGCTTTGC